GTGGTACGACAAGATCGAGGACGGGGCGGCATGGTTCATGAGGAAATGAATGGCACAGGCAGGAGGCGGAAGAGTCCGCGAAGCGCCAGCGCGCGAGGGAAGCAGAAGCAGAGAGTACGGACATCTCAGAACCGAAGAGAAAGAGAATCGGGGAAGCGGCGGCGGGGGGAAAAAACGGCGACCGGGCACTGCTGTAGAAGCGAGTAGGGCGACCGAGGCAGCACTTGTGGCGAACTATGTACATGGCTGATGTTGTTGCGTTGCGCCTGTTTCCCTCCCTGCTGTATGCAATACTCCTCTATGTATGTCCTTTGTATTGCCTTCGGCCTCTGTGCTGTGTTTCTTTTTTTCATGACCTCCCTGCCTACTCTGCTGTGTTGGGTACGTTGGCCTCGCTTTTGCTGTTGCCTTTGTTTTTGTACGTCTGGCTGTCTGCCCATCTGCAGCCTCTTTGTCCTGTTTGCTCCATTCCTCCCATGCCCTGGTGCGTAGTGCCTGGTGCTGGTACGTTACCCTTTGATTTTTTCTTTGGGCGGGTGTGGGAAGCGTCCTCCTATATTTTTGTTTTTGTTTTATTTTGATCGGTTTCCGAGGGCTCTTTTCTCGAACGGTCGGTGCGATACCTGTTCTTTTCTATCATTTTGTTTTCTTTTTCCGAGTGATTTGTACCCTATTTTTGTTTTGTTTCCCCGCGGCGTCGTATGTGCCGGGTTGTGAGACCACGGGTTCCCCATTTTTTGTGGACTACAGAGCTAATGTGAGAAACAACAACAACAACAACAACAACAACAGAGCTCTGGACAACAGCACACGAAACTTCGAGTTGGCCCGGGGGTTACTTGGTGTGCGCCCCTCGGATGTTGAAAGCGTTTCACAAAAACTCACTTGTCGCAAATTGTTCGAGAGCAAGACGCAAGGGCAGCAGGGCATATGAATGCCATTCTCCCCGACGAGCTGTGCCCCCTTGCTCATGGCATTTTTCCAACGCTTTGAGGCTGCCTGTGAGACCTTCTATAATACTAGATCGGGAGGTGGAATAGTTTTTTGTTAAAAACGTACCTGCAGTAGGCTCGTGCGTTGCTAACATTGGCCCGTTTACTACACAGCAGTATTATTTCAATATATTGATTGAGGTGTGGGGGGCGCCAATCAATGTGATGGACTCCGAAAAAAAAAAAGTCTTGGAAAAACAAAACACCTCCACACGGACTCGAACCCATGATTTCGAGAGTCAGGGTGGCCTTCACCGTCAAGTGTGAATTGGCTTTTTTACAACGTCGTTGCCAAGCGACGAAAACCCAATCCCGATGGGAAACACCGAGGGGGGGGCTTGTTTTACAACGTCGTTGCCAAGCGACGAAAACCCAACTCCGATGGCAAACACCGGGGGGGAGGGAGGTGTACTCCGGGGGGGAGGGAGGGGTGTAAAAAATAGGGCAAGCAGCTAAAAAAAAAAAATGTCTCTGCTTNTTGAGGTGTGGGGGGCGCCAATCAATGTGATGGACTCCGAAAAAAAAAAAGTCTTGGAAAAACAAAACACCTCCACACGGACTCGAANAAAATGTCTCTGCTTTTGTGCTTCGCTTGTTGGTTCGAGCTTCGATCGAGAAATCTCAAAAGCGTTCAAGCGTGTGATGGGTAGCCAGGCTAGCACGGGAGGCATTGGTCGCCCACTAGACCTTCGCGCACAAAAGTATAGAGAGGCGTACAGCAGTACATGTCGCACCAATGGTGGTGCGTAGCAGCGTTTGTGTGTTGTTGGCGTCATGTGCCCCTCTCCGCGCAAAGAGAGAGAGAGGGGCCGCTGCTGGTGCTGCTGGTGCTGCTGGTGCTGCAACTAAATGTCCATCGCTCCTCTGGCTTTCTCCGCCGATAGCTAACAGCAGCAGTGTATGGCGCACCCTCCTCCCGCCGCCTCGCCCTCGCTGTGATCTGTGTCTCCCTCTCCCTGTTTGTCCATGTCTGGCTCTGTGTGTGTGTGGTGTGTGGTGTGGGAGGCTATGTGTCTTGGTTCAAAATCAAACGACGCCTCCTCTCGATGTTGCAAGGGGCCAGAAACTTCCCTGCTTCAAGTTGGGTACCGACGCTGTACTATCTCGACGCACCGGGCACGGATCGAAAAAGTAGCAGTTGGGGCAGCTCGGGCAATATATTACTTGTTGTGATCACGTCTTAGATTACAATTTGGTGCCGAGATGGTGAAATGGGCTGGAATCTGCTGGGTAAATAGTCTAAATATATCGAGGCTGATCACAGACAGACAGAGCTGTGTTGGGTACCTTGATCTCGCTTTTGCTGTTGCCTTTGTTTTTGTACGTCTGGCTGTCTGCCCATCTGCCGCCTCTTTGTCCTGTTTGCTCCGTTACTCCCATGCCCTGGTGCGTAGTGCCTGGTGCTGGTACGTTACCCTTCGATTTTTTCTTTGGGCGGGTGTGGGGTGTGGGGAGCGTCCTCCATTAAAACTTTTTTCTTAATGGGTCTATGACACAACGAGTCCATCTCTATCATAGAAAAGAGTCAGAGACAGATTAACAATGGAATCATAGCGTCAGAGAAAACTACCTGTGTGTCTACGATTTCCCAGACAGCATATAGGGACATCTCCCCTGTG